TCTCATATCTGAATACATCTGGTTGAAATTATCCCAGAGTTCCTTGGCTGTGTGATAGCACATATAGTTTGAGCTTATATCCTCATCCATGGAATTCACCAGTCATGTCATCACCATCGAATTTTCTGCATCCCAGACAGAGTGTGGGATCGTCACTTGAAGGTTCCTTCTTGTCTCCAGTTAAATACCCGATCTTACCTCTGCCACGGATATACATCCGTACAGATTGTGACCAGCGCAGGAAATTATCTCCATTCAGTCATATGGTGGTAATTTGAACAGAATGTGAGTTTGAATCAGAGTTAGGGTCGGTTGAGGACTCGGACACTTTTGGTTGGGTGACGGATGATGGAGTGATCTCAGAAATAGCATCAGACATGGTGTTTTTTGGTGGTAAACGGCTTAGGGTTTTTTTAGGAAATCAAAGACTGCTCTGATACCATATAAATGTAGGTAATGAGAAGAATGAATTGTATTGCCATCAACTTTTACAGAGTATACACTTAAATAGAATTACAATAGGGAACGGAAAAAGGGAAACTAACTAAATTAGTCTATACTGATTTCTTTCCTGATTTCTAGTAGTTGACTAATTCTAATTTTTCCATATTTACATGCTAATTTAATCCCTAAAATCTGGTGCCTTTAATCACTAAATATTTCAACAATAATTGTTGTTATATATATTACATGTGTGTACGTGAAGTGGTGTGCCTCGGAAGGAAGAGAAATTATTTTTTTATGTCTTTGAGTTTTTAGAAATTGAATGTGATATTTGGGGCACGGGTTTTTAGAGAAAATATTCAGAGTATCGTCTGTGAGATTGTAAGTTTTATGTGTCATTGTGTTCGTCCTTTGGGAGAGGGATTAGAAGCGTTCGGGAGAAAGCGCACTGCACGACGAGCCAAAGGGATTTCGTCCTGCAGTTTGAAGACAAGTGGTGCTCGCTGGACAAGGCCATTAAGGAGATTCGACACGGCGGCGACAACGTCAAGGAGGGAGTCTTTGGGTATATAAGTTCGATTGGTGTCTGTAATTCTTTGAAACTTAGTGTATTGTTCACTATCTAGGCGTGGCCCCGCAAATGTAAGTGCGTGCACCGAACTGCGATACTAATTCATGGTGTTCTTTATGTTTCTGCACTATTATTTTCTTGCTTCTCTACTTTACTTTTCTGCAAATTTATCTACTGGTTTCTAAATCTGAAAATTAAACAAAACATCAGTGTTACAAAAAGTGTTATCACATTCTGTGTAACACTTGCGTAAAAAAACAGACCTAACAATTGGTATCAGAGAGGTTCACTAACTCTTTGCTTGGTGAGATTTTGGGAGTTTGTCTGTTGTGGCAGGAATGGATTTTTTGAAAGAAGGGGTTCGGTCTCACGTCCTCTTCTCATTGATGGTTCTAATTATTCCTATTGGAAAGCTCGTATGAAGGCGTTCATCAAAGCAATTAATGAGAAGGCGTGGCGTGCTATATTGAAAAACTCGTATGAAGGCGTTCATCAAAGCAATTAATGAGAAGGCGTGGCGTGCTATGTTGACTGGTTGGACATACCCCCTTACTAAAAATGAGGCTGGAGAAGAAGTCATGAAACCTAAAGAAAAATGATCTACTGAAGAAGATCGATTGGCTAATAACAATTCAAGAGCATTGAATGTCATTTTCAACGGAGTTGATGCTAATCAATTTAAGCTCATTTTAACATGCGAATTTGCCAATGATGCTTGGGAGATTTTACAAACGGCACATGAGGGTACGGCTGCTGTGAGACTATCAAAGTTTTAAATTCTTACTACGAGGTTTGAAAACTTACGCATGCTTGACGATGAAACAATTTCTGATTTCAATTCAAAGTTATGTGATATTGCTAATGAGGCTTTTGCACTTGGTGAAAATTTTTCCGAGTAAGGAAGGCTTTAAGGTCGCTACCAGCAAGATTCGCTTATAAGGTTACAACAATAGAAGAGGCAAAGGATGTGGAATCAATGAGGCTTGACGAGTTGATGGGCTCCTTGCGTTCCTTTGAAATGAACCTGAATGAAAACAACAAGGAGAAAAGGAAGAAGGAGAAAGGAATTGCTTTTCAAGTTGATGTTGAAGAAGTTGAGTCCGATGACCAAGAAGACTTGGCCGAGTCCATAGAACGATTGTTGAAGAATTTCAACAAGGTGATGAAGAAGCTTTACAAGAAGAACCACACACCAAACTTTGGAAACTCAAACCATTTCCAGAGGAATAAAGCTGCAGCAAATAACACAGAATTGAAGACAAGAAATAGAGGTATTCAATGCTGGGAGTGCAATGGTTACAGCCACATTCAATTCGAGTGTGCTGACACTCTCAAGAAAAAGAAGAAATCACTCAATGCTGCATGGAGTGATGAAGAATCTGAAGGCAGTCAGGAGTATGATGATGATCATGTGAGTAATTTTGTTGCCTTCAATGTTTATACTGATCAGAGTGTTTCTGTCAACAGTGTTGCAACACTTTCTGTAACAAATTCCGTGAACAACAGTTAATTCAAATTCTGACAGTAGCAGTGATGGTGAAGACCTGTTATGAAGCCATCCAGGAATCCTATCAGACCATGTTCAACAAGTGAGTTAAAGTGTGTGAAATGAATAAGTCTCTACGGGAGAGAGTCAATGAGCTTATCAAAGAGAATGATGTGCTTAAAAGGGCTGCCGTGAACTATTAATTTCATGTTGCTGAAAAGGAAAAAAAACTACATGACACAATGGCAGAATTGGAGCGCACTCAAAAGTCATTGAAAATGATGAATTCCGGCACTGCCAAACTAGATCATATTCTCTCTATAGGAAAAGGAAGTTGTGATCGTTATGAACTTGGTTACATTGGTGAAAGCTCAATGTCCAATACAGTGTTTGTGAAGGAGACACCCGCTCATGAACCTCGGACTCCCCTCAGTAAGAAGGTTATTATCTCACCCTCTCGACGTAAAAGGTTTGTCCCCATATGCCATTACTGTGGTTTACCTGATCACATAAGACCAAGATGCTATAAGTATTTGAATTCTTTGAAGAGAGGTATGCTCTCTAATCCACCGAATTCTGCAAGGACACCTAAAATGAAGATTGATGTGCAAGACAAATTTCTTAGACGTGTGTGGGTAAGAAAATCTGATTTGAGGTATCATAGAGTTTGTACTTCTTTAGAAGCATGTACTAATGATTGTGGGTGTAGTAATTGTGGCTGGTCCAAGCATTTGACAAGTGATAAGAGCAAGATTCAGAAAGTGTTACATTCAGGGGGAGTAAGATGAAGAGAAGATTTAGGGGGAGTGAGTTTCAGGGATCAATGACCTTGAAAGATAATCTAGAGGAAAGTGTTGTACAGAGTGTTCCATCAAGTGTTGCAACACTTTCTGCAACAACAGTTTCTAGAAGATTTTTGTTTATTTTTACTTTGGCTTATTTTTGTCAAAAAGGGAGAGAACAATGTATTTTTCTAACTTTTCTAGTTTTTGAATTTTAATTGTTAATAGGAACAATGTGTTAGTTTTGCCAAAGAAAATGTCAAAGGGGTAGATTATTAGGACTTTAGTTCGCAATTTGTTGGCATTAGTTGTAAAAAATTCAAAAACAGATACTTTTGGCTACTGGCGTTTATAAAGGAGATTTCATTGCTTGTGAAATCATGAAGATTCCTGAAGATTTGGGATAAGTTTTATTTGAGGAAAGAAAATATAGTTTTGGTATGATTGAGGTATTTAAATTAGGAGATTTTGCATATATTATGAGAGATAATTACGTGAAAAGGGCAGCACATTTGGGTTGACAAATCCGAATTAATGGAGGAGGAAATCTAATCACGTGGAGAGGTTTGGCTAGTTTTTGGAAGGTGTTGTACAAGGATTCGGACTTGAATATGGAAATAAGGTACTGCAAGAATTCATACTTGAATATGAGAATAATATGAATCTTTTAATTAGTGGTTGATTTGACTTTTAAAGAGAATGAATGTGATAATTTTATCACGTGGAGAGCAACAATGCTAAAGTGACAACATTATCTCTTTTAGTACCAAAATCTGATGTGGTTGGTTTTTGTGAAGATCATTATGGGTTATGCATAGTGGATAATTGTTGTTATATATATTGCATGTGTGTGTACGTGAAGTGGTGTGCCTCGGAAGGAAGAGAAATTGTTTTTTTATGTCTTTGAGTTTTTAGAAATTGAAGGTGATATTTGGGGCACGGGTTTTTAGAGAAAATATTCAGAGTATAGTCTGTGAGATTGTAAGTTTTATGTGTCATTGTGTTTGTCTTTCGGGAGAGGGATTAGAAGTTTTCAGGAGAAAGCGCATTGCTAGCCGAAGGGATTTTGTCGTGCAGTTTGAAGACGAGTGGTGCTCGCTGGACAAGGCCATTATGGAGATTCGACATGGCGGCGACAACTTCAAGAAGGGAGTTTTTTGGTGTATAAGTCCGATTGGTGGCTGTAATTCTTTAGAACTTAGTGGATCGTTCACTATCTGGGCGTGGCCCCGCAGATGTAGGTGCACGCACCGAACTGCAATACCAATTCATGGTGTTCTTTATGTTTCTGCACTATTATTTCCTTGCTTCTCTGCTTTACTTTTCTGCAAATTTATCTACTGCTTTCTAATTCCGAAAATTCAACAAAACATCAGTGTTACAGAAAGTGTTATAACACTCTGTATAACACCTGCGTAAAAAAACAGACCTAAGACAGAACGCAGTGGAATATTACGTACCAAAAGATTCATCATGGGCCAGCAATAAAATAATTAGTAAATTTATAAACCCTTGTGTCCCCTCTTCTTGCAAGCTGATTTTCAAGGATCAGTTCTACGTTCATATGTGTGGCATAATGAACTTCAAATATAAATATAAAAAATATTACAAAAACTCATAATGTTTTGTTCCTTTTTTTTTAAAGGTTGATGTGCTTCTATTTGAATGTGAATTTATCTTTCAACTAATTTTTCATGGTATTCTTTGTTTGAATCAGGAAAGTCAGCTTCATTTTCATTCGAAGTAGAAAAGCTAATATCATCATCAAAAGACACCCATAATGGACTATTTAACATATGCCATATATCACCAAGCTCAAAGTGCCAGGTATGATGATCAGATGGTGAGTCACCCTTAATTAAGCTGTTCTTTTTTCTTTTTGGTGGTTACATTTGTTTGAAAAAAGTTGTTGGGTGGTAACAATTTTCTTTGCCTTAATGAATTTTGATGACAAAGTCCCTACAATGAATGACAGAATCTATGTTTGGTCCTGAAAACACGAGTCACGTCATTATGTTGAAATTCTCTCAATGATGAATTAGAGTGCTTGACTAGAGTGCTTGTTTAGTAATGTTAGAATTATTTGCTGTGGCAGGGAAACATACAGATCAATTTCCCGGCTGTTGCAATTTTTGTCAGTAATACCTTGATGTTCTCCACACCTTTTAAAGCTTTGGCAGAAACATGTGAGGCTGATAACTCTTTGTTCAACATGAACATGCCTTTGTTGCTGGCTTTTTCTCTTATAGGGGCTACAGTCGGAGGTAAGGTATTACTTGCTTAGTTACATATGCTTATGTCAAATCGGAAGCAAAAGTTGTTTATTTTCTGCGTGTGATGTCTGCTTTGTTCCGATGACACTTGGTGGATTGTAAAGTGTGCAATGAATAGGTTTTAGCGTGAGGTTTGAAGTTTCAAGGGAAAGAAAAGTATAATGAGAGATTGAGACGTGTGTGATATTTGAACCCATGTTCTGTGTGGTATTGTTCTTGATGATCTAGTTGTATAATAGGATTGCTCGCTCGGCAAAGAAGAGGAGAGCTGGAACGATTGAATGAACAGCTGCGACAGATAAATGCAGCTCTAAGAAGGCAAGCAAAGATTGAGTCTTATGCTCCCAGCTTAAGCTACGCTCCTGTTGGTGGAAGGATACCAGAGAATGAAGTAATTGTCGATTCAAGGAAGCATGAATTGATTTCTCATTTGAAGACTGGGAAGAATTTTTTGAGGAATCAAGAACCAGAGAAAGCATTCGTGGAGTTTAAGACAGCGCTTGAGCTTGCTCAAAATTTGAAGGATCCTATAGAGGAGAAAAAGGCCGCAAGAGGCTTAGGTTTGTTCTTATTCCCTTTCTGCTCGTTATTAACCTATTGTTGTTTCTCTTTCTATCTGAGCTTTCTGAGTAGACAAGCTAACTGATTGGAGAGAAAATATTAGGCCTTTTTTTTTCTTCTTTGGGAAACAACTTCATGCGCTCTCTCAATTAAAGAAAGGAAAATCTAGTCGAAATCCACTTTTGTGGTGTGAACTTTTCTTTTCTTTTCTTTTTGTTTCAAATGTCACATGTTTTTTCATGCTGTAAAACAATATCCAACCAACTTTTTATTTTATATATATACTGCTTTATGATTTGCCCCACTGCCTGCACTGTTTATTCATCTCAAATTTTCTCTAATATTTCTGTTTTCTGTGTTTTTTTTTTTTTTTGGCTCCTCAGGAGCCTCACTCCAACGGCAGGGTAAGTACCGAGAGGCAATCAAATACCATTCGATGGTTTTGGACATCTCTGAGAGGGAAAAAGAGGAATCAGGGAACACAGAAGCTTTTGGAGCAATTGCTGATTGTTATGCTGAGCTTGGAGATCTTGAGCGTGCAGCAAAATTCTATGATAATTATATTGGAAGATTGGACAAGGACGACTGATCATCTCACTTGTCCCAAGCTTACTAGTACACCATTTTAGTACGCGTATCAGAGGTTACTCCATTTAACATAGAGGGTGCGGATGACTTGCCCACATTTGCCTGCGGACATTTTCAGTTTTGCTTTTGGTAACATAAATAATGTAGCAATTTCTGAACTACTCGTACTCTAATATTATTGTAATAGAAAATTTTATTGCTTTAAGGGATTGCGTTGTGTGATATGTTTGAAAGTTAAATAAAATTTCATTTTCAAGAAAAACAACAAGGAATTACGCAGGTTGAACAGGAATTCCAAAGTGACAACAATGTATCATCAGATCACACTATCAGTGAACCGATTTGTTAATTTATTTAGCCGTAGCATCCCACATTCATCTAAAATAAGAAACAAAAATAGGGGAGGCCGAAAGAGTCCAAGAAAAAAAAAAAAAAAAAAAAAAAAAAAAAAAAAAAAAAAAAAAAAAAAAAAAAAAAAAAAAACAGCTGTTCATACTATATAGCCAACTCCCTCTGATTATCATAACCACTCATCATAACAAAGAACCACAAAATCATACATGATACACATCCATAGAAAATAGCAATCACATAAGGTGGCGTAACTAACGACTCCCCATGTGAAAAAAAAGGTAAAAATAAAAAATAAAAAAGTTTCCTAAAGGTTTAGAACTCGGGAGAAAACCTGCATCAAGACAGGAAATACAAGTAGAAATACAACATTATAATTATGTATTATCACTGGTAGTACATGAGCTGCTGAGCGGCAGCAACATTCTGGAATCCCCCATCGTATATAGCCTGACTTGCTCCAGCAGCACCCATTCCCATGGTGGCCTGCTTAAGATGATGCTGTCCCTGTGGATGCATGAGGGCATGTACCCCTCCCATCTTGCTCATTGCTAGTTGCCGCTCATAGGCTAAGAGGTCGTTGGCAGAGATGCCGGGTATGGGAGCAGCAGCCGGAGGAGGGAGCGGGTTTGAAGCTGTCCCAGGTGGTGTGGGCTTGCTTCCCCAGGAGCACTAAAACCATAGAAAGAAGAAGACAAGCCAAAACAATCAGTAATAAATAAAATTAAAACCACATAGAATAACATTCATATTCAAGTTGATGCATCTTCCATAAATACATCTGCAAAACATACAACCTCACAGGAAGTATTCTCTACATCTTTATTAGGAACGCAGCACGCCAGAATGCTCTACTATAGGGGTTCACAACAAAGGCAGTGCTCCAGTTGATTGATGGAACAATCCAAAACACTTTTTTTTTTTTATTTCAGGTATCTAAAAATAAGTTGGATAGCTAGAATGGAAGTGATGGTCAAAGACTAACAAATCAATTGACAGAAATCAAAGTATGGTCCACAACAGATGTCAGATGCATCCAAAAGAATAACTAGTATAACAGTAATCCAAGAGCTACGAATCAAACTAGAATGTTGAGTGAAAAAACAAGTATTCCTTTATGAGAAAACCAAAAAGAAGCAAAAGCACACCTTAATCTGTCGTCCACATAGAAGTGACTGGTTATTTCCCACCTGAATAGCCATAGCTGCCTCAGCATGAGTACTATACCTCACAAAACCAAAACCCTTATCACGCTGGACTCGGACCTCCTCGATCACCCCAGCTCCAAGCATATGAAAGTGACGATGCAGATCAAGCTGAGTGACCTGTAAATCATAAACAAAAAATATATATATACATATATATATATATATCTTAAAATAGGCTTTATTTTGGAACTTGATGCTCAACAATAATAAACATACAACTCAGATATTCTGTTCCTTAAAAGGTGCAACCAATTTTGGCAGTGTAGAAAAACCCATTCAGTTCTCTTACAGAAGCAGACGTGCATACCATTCCAATTTTCACACACATAGCATATAGTATGCTTCTGGTGCAGATCTACAATAGAATAAAGGAAAGGGAGAGAAAAACCGTAACGGTTACTTGCCTCTGGAGCAAGATTGCCGACATACACAGTAGTGTACTGAGGATTGTTTTCTGGAGCCTCACTGTTTGCTGTCTCCTTACCATCTTCTGCACAAACAAGATGAAAAAAATGAGTTTATAATTCTCAAAAGCATATAAATCTCTTCACAAGAAGACAGCACGCAGACATTATAAATCTCACCAAAATAAACTATTTTGTTCCATTTCTAGATCAACCAAAAAGCCATAAAGTAAAGAATTTTGAAAACTGAGTCAACAATTATTGTAATCATAAAGGAGATGATGCGTCATCTTAGAATAGAAATCTTCTACGCATGTCAAACAAAATACTGGTATCTTTTATGATGCGCATCCTTTTAAGTACGAAACTATTAAGACGCTAGTAACAAACAAAATTAACTGCCCTCGTTCAAGTTCTGAACCGCAATAGCCTGACCTGAACCATTTGTTAGTTCTACAACACTTTTTGCATCCGAGCTCTGCTTGTCCTCATTCGTACCGGCACCTTTTGTGGCCCAGTTGCACCTTATCTGTCTACTGCCCAGCCATTTACCTAGACAATGGCACCAAAGAAAGGAAACTTAACGTTAGTGTTTCAAATACTAGCATAAATCTATTTATCAAAGAAATATTAACATGCATCCTTTTGTGAATTGAAACATAATACAAAATTTAAGGTCCACACTGCAACAAGTAGAAAGTATTTCTCTTTCAGCATTTTTGGAACTGCTAGCACAACACCAATGCTATATATTCAATTGGAAAATTGGTCTTTGAACCTATAGATGAAAAAATAATGTTCAAATAATAGATAACAGCATCAATCCTCACCAGTCAAGTCATTTATTGCACTTTGAGCATCCTGAAAGGAATTTCAAGATTTTGATGAGAATTAAAGTCTAGCATAAAAGAAAATAATAATAAGCAGACCCAAAATGAAGACAGTACCTGTTGGTTTCGGAATGAAACAAACCCAAAACCTCTTGATCGTCCAGTCTTCTGATCCCACATAACCCTTGCATCTCTAGAATAGAAAATTGATCAAATTAGTGACCATTATCAACCAAGTAACAAGGTGAGCAGTGAACTTCCTGAAAATATGTGTTATCATTATTTGAATTAGTATACCATTCAGCAAAAAAATAAAATCAAGTCACAGTGTTGAAGCTTACGAACAACTGCCATAAACAGAAAAGCACGCAAACAATGTAGCATCAGTAACCTCAGGGCTGAGATCACCAACAAAAATGTTGAAATGACCTGCACGTGATAACAAACAATGTGATAAAGCAGACAAGGTGACAAATGGTTTTTGACAAAACAACAATTTTGACTATCAAGAAGTTGATATATACAAAAACAAACAGACCTGATGTATCCTCCCTCTGACCACTTGCATATGCCCAGTTTACTTTGATGGGCTGCCCAAACCTGAAATCACATCACAAGATATAAGAGCAAATCCTCACCAAGTTCACCGCAACGAATCATTAGAAGTTCAACTTACAGATGCCTTCCATTCAGAGACAATATGGCAAGCGCAGCTGATCTACGATCAAAATAATGAACAAATCCATAGGATGACTTCATAAACAGGAAAAAACCATGAGTTAACATGAAAACTGACTGGTAAAACAAAGTAAATAAATTAGAAAGCTAAATAAGTTAAGACACTTAATTTACACCAATCAGAACTCCCCAGGATGTAAAGCAAGTCAGCAGAGGAAAACTGAAAGGGAACAGAACCAGTTATGAACTTACCTTTTCCTTTCTTATAAGTTTGCAGCCTTCGACAGCACCAGTACTCGCAAAAACCTCTTGAAGAAGCAGTTCAGTGACCTGTGTATGAATGTTTCCCACGTACCTGCAATTTCTCAAAAATAAAGGAACTGGAAGTTTTAAAGAAAGAAGAGAACAAACAAAATAGATTAAGCCATAAGTAACTGCACTTAACCATGGAAGACAAAAGATAATTCAATTAATTACTTAGCGCAATAAAAAAGATTTTCATACAGAAAGTGTAGCTAAATATACGAGTAATTATCAAGGATGTTGTCATAATCAACGAAATTCAAGAGATTTAGTATAAATAAACAACGAGTAAGAAAGATGATACGTGAAATTTAATCACATAAGCATGCAGGTGGAAGGACAAACATCAACATGCAACAAAAGAAGAAGACACAAAAGAAAAAGAAAAAAAAATAAAGTCTAAACAAACACTCACACACTGCGGCAAGTACTGGGATCAAAACCAGGAGGCAGATTTCCACTTGGGATTGGCTCAATCTGCAAAAATAAAAATGTAAAAGGGAAAGAAAAGAAAAGAAAAGAAAAGAAAAATAGAAAATAAACAAAAAGGTTCCCACTATATCTAATCCAATCAGGTCCTATCGTTCAGCCTAAAAACAAAAACAAGCCCAGAAAGTAAAACGAAAAAATTAACAAGTTAACATAAAGTAAAAGATAAAGTCACTCAAACCAAACTGTGGGTGGTGGAAGAAGATAGGACAATTTGCAACAACGAATATTCTAAGATGGGCCAAATTTGTAGTTGCTTTTCTGTCAAGTTTAGAAGTTCTTCTGAAACCCCCTAAATCTTCTTTAAATCGCCCTCATAATGATGCAAAAAGAAGGCACAAACACAAAGAACGGTGATGCAAAGTGCTATCACATCTACTACATGAGCGTATAAAGTACACATAGATAATACACGAGCTTTGCCTTTAAAATTTCCGTTTTCAGAAAGTGATCGTTCCAGGTCCACTAAAATCCCAAACTTGTAACAAAAAAATAGTAACTGTAACAAAGATATTACATGAAACGAGATGAATTTAACGCTGCCTTCTTTAATTTAAGTTACTGAAGTAGGAAAAAATAATTACTCAGATAAATACGATGTTTCACTCTTCCAATCCATTTATGTTGTTAACTGATAAATTCTACACTCGAATCTAAACAGACAGTTCCCAAATCATTCATTTAAGACCTTTTGGAAAGCGGAAGAAGAAGCCAAAACAAGCTTTGTGAGGAGAACAAAAAGATGAAACTACACTCAAAGACCCTCCTACGACTAAACTGCACGCGAAGCTAATCAGACAACATCAAACACAAGAGTTTCTAAATTCGAAAATTTTGAGAGCAACGAAAGTAAACGAACAAAACGATCAACATCAACTCCAGAATCAAATGCTAAGAGAACCATCTAGAACCCATGATTATGTAACACCCAAAATATTTATTGGCCCAAAAAATTCAAATCCCTAGCTCTCCCAACGTCCGTACCAAAGAAAAAACAGAACGAACTAACCCTAGCACTCACAATCCGAACCCTAGAAAGCAATCAAAGAAAATCGTCCAAAAAACAGAAATCGAATCGAAATCACAGAGGCTACAAAGAACGGGAATTTAAACGAAAAGGAAAATAGCTCGAACCTGAGGGGGAGCTAGGAGGCCAGGGTGGTAGAGAGAATGTTGCTGGAGAAGAGCTTGCTGCATCAGAGCTTGCTGTTGCTGCTGTTGCTTCAGCCTCTGGTGCTGCATTTCCTCGGCGATTTCCCGAGAAAAATAAAAAATTTTCCGAGAAAGTTTGAGGTTAGGGTTCGAATAAGGACGGGTCTCGGGAAAAATGAAAGAGAGTGTGGGGGGAAAGAGAGAGAAAAAAAAGGAGAGGAAAAATGCGCGTGAGGAAGAGGCCTCAGAAAGAGAGTAAAAACGTTGAATGGCTCCAGGGGTAAATATAGAAGGATCTCTAATCAGGAGTTATGATAAGGTTACGGTGACACTCACACTGATTTTTTGATTGGCAAATAACAAGTCGACGGTGGCTTTTAAATTGAATAACCACTTTTTACTTTTTGGATATTATTTTAAGTAAACAAAATACAGTCATATAATACAATAAAAAGTCTAATTTTAGCTAAAAAGAACACTACTTTAAAAAAATTTAAATTGTTAAAAGAATGAATCCTTAAATATTGACGAGGAAACTACTTTTTTGAATTTTATACTTTTTTTATGGAAGATATGTACTTTTACAGTGTGCCACTGGCTTCTGTTAACGAAAGGGTTGAGTGCTTTTCATTGTCTCAGTATAATTTTTACACAAGCACATTATAGTTTGATTTAAAAATTCAAGTACTTTTTACCTCAAAGAAAAATCAAGCACTTTTATAGTTTTATCATTATTTATTATTATTATTGGTTAGTGATTAGTGCTTTACTTTTTTTTTCTTGCAAAACGGTCATGCTTTTTATAACTTTTCTTTTTTATCAAATTGGATAACGAAGTGTAAAAATATAAGACTCTTATGAAAATTAAAAAAATGTAAAATTAAAAAGAAAAACTTTAGAGAGAGAGAGTTTTATTAATTTTATTAAGGTATATAAAATGAAAAGTCTTAGAACTCTATTTATAGAAAAACTTTCAGTACTATCACAATAAGATTCTGATATAAACAATAACTTTAACTCATTTACATAACTCTACTCAAGTGGACAGTTACTATTCATAACAAAAACCATACAGTGGTTTATTTTGTTCGCTATATTACACCAGTTGAAAGCACATGCGTAGCGTAATAAGTTTTTTGACTTTCTTTATACATGAAAGTAAAATTTTATCAAGAGTTTAGTTCCTTCTCTTGATTTATTATTATCGCAAGAGTTTAGTTGAACAAAAACAAATTCAATAGACCACGTTTTTGGGGAAAAAAATAAATAAATAGTGGGATAAATTATATAAAATATTTAGAGGTACATGTGTTAAAATACTATTTAAAAGAATTGTATAAAATAAGATATTTAAGAATAAACACAATTGAAAAACAATGCGCTCATTTGGTAACGTTTTCAAAATGATTTTGTTTTCATTACAAAAGTAAAAATGATTGTTTTAAAAATCATTTTGAGACTGATTCTAAAATTACATTTGATTGGTTTTTTAAGATATTATTTTGAATATAATAAACAAGCAAAATTGTGTTTTGTTATAATTATTAATCAATATATTATAACATTGTTGATAAGTATTAGAAAATAAAAACAGAAAAGGGAAAACATCTTTCAACCGTTTTTTAATTATTTCACAAAAACTATTCTCATTGCTTTTTGTTTTCGTTTTCGTTTTTAAAACATTTACTAAACAAACACGATTTATAAATCGTTTTCATTTTCATGTCTCAAAATATGTGCACAAATGTTTTCAAAAACAATCAAAAACCTACAATTCAATTCTAAAGGCACCCAGTATTTCAATAAGATAGTTAAGAAAAGTATTTACAAAAGCCACATTTACAAAATTAATATTTTAGAGCACTACAATAAAAAAATAAAAAATAAAAATTGCTTCAGTGAGAACGAGAAAAGAAAAGGCAATTTGGTGATGATAATTAGAATGAATAATAATAAGCCACGTTTTAAAATACAATGTTGAATAAAAACATGCGTTTCCATTGAATATTATGCACATACAAGTAAATAGAACACAAATTTTAGAGGAAACAAATAGTGATAAAATCTTCAGAATGGTCATTAGTATTTTAAGATATATGTTTAGTTTTTAGACCTTTCTAATTAAAGTGAACTAATGAACTTACCTTGCGTAATCTCCATTGCAAAACTGCGTGTTTCCGCGTAGTTTTGAACAAGGCCGGGAGTTATGATGGGCTATAGATGTGGCACGTGTGAGATTGCATGTCAAATCTCGTGTTAATCCAACGAGATTGCTCTAGATCTATCGTGTGAGATTACAAAGGAAACGACAACTTTGAACTCCTCGATAACATGCTCATACTTCGACCAATTCAAGCCATTCGAGAGAAATGTTTAACAATAGAATATTGTGTTGTCGTTGCAAGACTCAAATGATTACAAGTTTGTTTAGTTTTAATACCATGAGTTAATGTAATAATATGGTGTTTTCATCTTCTTTTTTTTTTAGACTTTGCGAGATTACTTGGAGAAATAATCTAGTAGATTGCATGTAGGATGTGGCATTGGAAACAAGGACATAATCTAATAGATTGCCGATGATAATCTAGCGGATCACTTAAAAAACCGGCAAGAACCATTGGTTATTACTAATTCTAACGAAATAATCTAGTAGATTACTACCCTAAATTACTCTGGCGTCCGATATAGGTGACCAATCACCACAATTTTAATAAAATAGATTTTTTTGACTTTTGATTGGTCTTCTAGAGATTGGAAGAGTATAGCTTTTATCAGAAGTGACCAAATAATATGACTCGATGGCGACTCATCTTCTTCTATTTCGCCTTTCCCATTTAACCTGGGCCTAACCCAACATTCACGATAAGGCCCAATGCTTTCGGTTCACAAAAAGGGCCCTTTTGATTCAACGGTGTACCGCACGACCCACGTTCACAAACAAATCCAGCAAAGCTGTAAATTAAATATTATTTACATAAATTCCTATTATGAGATAGACATTTTGTGTAATTACTTCCTTAAATTAATTGCCAAACAGACTCTGTACATTCGTAACAACAACTTTATTTTTATCAAAATTTTATGCATCGTTCACTTCACGGATTCGAACTGAGATGTGATATTTTTTAATAACTTTTCACTGTAATTAAAAAAATTAAATGTAACATTGTCTTAAAAGTTTTTTACTATAGAAATCATCGCAAAGAAGGACAAGTCAATAATAAATTATTGCTTTTTTGGTCTTTAAACTCGCCTTTTCAATCTTTACAACCAAAGATAATTACCAATACCAACAAAGGATTAGAAGATTGCGCCAAAACCCAAAAGTATATCAAGAAAGAAGTGAGGTTTTGAGCATTATTTTTCCTCGTTTGTATCGTGATTGATATCTAAAAAAAAAAAAAAAAAATCTATGCTCATGTCGAAATTAAACATTTAGATAGGAAAATTATTCTAATATAATAATTGCAGCATTCTCATTTCGCTTAAAAATTACATCATTGTCATTTTTATTTTATTGAAAAATTATGAATTTCCCTGGCTGATGAAATTTATAATAAAGCATTTGGAATGGCATTAGCCATTATGTATTAGAGTGCTAAATAGGACAACCTATTAAATATACGTATCATTGTTAATTTTTTTTGGTACTAATACATTTGCATTAGATTGAGACGGTCTCATAAGCAAAACAAATTCTCTTCCCACGAGAAATACAATGGCAAGCAAGTAAAACGAGTCTTTTTTCTCAACAACAAAAAAAAAAAAAGAGATAAAACCAACAATACCACTCAAAATAAAACTAATTAACATTAATGTCATCAAAGTGACATAGTAGAAACATGTCTTTTATTAAATCAGTAAAAAATAATACATGAATTTTTCTATAAAAAAAAAAAAAAAGTTGGCTTTAACTTCAATTTACGCGGGTGTATTTTTCACAAGTACGAATATTCAAACTACGTATTTAGACGAATGCATTTGAATAGGATGGCGCTAATTATTGAAGGATAACATTTTTAGGCGAAATTGAAGGATAAATTTATAACAAAAGAGAACTATACTTTAGTGCGGGGTATGAATGATTTAGGTGGGGTAAGTAAAATTTCGCTTTCCTGAAAAAAAGTAAGTTTATGCTTTTCAATTTTTTGTTGTTGCAAACAGTAAACAGTTTTTATAGTTTTTTTTTAAAGGGTAAAAACAGTTTTTATGGTTTTTTTGCTAAATATCAAGGATTTTATTCAGAAACACTCAGATAGCAAAATTACTCCTAAAAGCCCAAGCACACAAAGTGAGGTGTAAACAGTTTTTATGGTTAAATAGGGTAGAAACTTGTTTAGTAGTATCAACTTCCAAGGGGAAAAACACTAACCATATCAAATTCAAAGTAATAATAGTTATAAGCAGTCTTTTAGTAAAATTTCAGAGATTTCGGTTATGAAAAAAAAAAAATCTATGACATAATTCTAAATGTGAGTATAAAAATGAAAAAGTTAGTAAAACTTAATGAAAATGACTAAAATATTTTTTAATATTCTATCAAAACTTATCTTAAAAATTAAGACTCCGTTTATTTTACTGATTCGAGTTTAGAATTTGAGTTTTGTTACATTAAAAATCTTTTAAAAATTGTTACATCTAACTTTTTTGCTACAGCAAAAAACTCTCACATAAAATTAAATATTAATTCGAATTAAAAATTTAAATCAGTGAACTAAAGAGACCGTGAACCTTTGCGAGCAAGGTTAAAAAATTTTCTTCTAAATTTGTAGACAATATCAGCTCCATTATATTGCCAATTTGGCACCGACAAAAGTGAAATCAAATCAAATTGTCGAAGTAACTAAACAGTTGGATGTTGGCGGTTGCTTCTCTTTGTGCACAACATTATAACATTGCCAGTAACTTTATATTGCTTCTCTTTGTGCACAACATTATAACATTGCCAGTAACATTATATTATATGGTTTGATCATTCCTAATGTCTTCACTTGATAAATAAATTCGTCTTACCAAATAATTTCTTCTTATTTTCCCAAGCTTTTATTTTTGTTCGTTCCTTTTTCGTTTTTTTCCTTGGCAGTCTGAGAAGATCTCCTTTTATAATTGCAAATTCTTGACCGTGTGTAACACCCTCAAGAATTAATTAGGATTAATTAAGGTAATTGAGATTATTAGTGTGCCTAATCTGATATAATTAATTGAGTTTTGATTAATAAATGTTTCTGACTTATAATTTAAATAGTTTCAAGGTATTTAAATTATTCTCAGTAATTTTTATTTTAACCCAGAAGTGTGTATGGGCGCATTTCTAGACTGTTTCCTTTAAATGTTAGTACATGTCTATTTTTTTTTCTTTTTCTTTTCCTTCCTTCCTTCCCGTGCACCCCTCCCTCTCACTCTCTCGTTCTCTCACACTCTCTCTCTCTCTCTCTTCCGTTTTTGCTTCAAATCAACTGGATTTCGAACCAAAGGAAAGTTTCAAGAAGTTTCAACATCAAGAGAATGATTCAAGGTAAGATTTCTGAAAAACCTCTCTTGAAATCCTAAGTTTTCAGATTTAAAACTCATTTTTTGGTTCGAAATAGATTTTGATGGTTTTTGAGTAAAACCTTGGTAGAAATTAGAGATCTTGGGTTCTTTGGACTTATTTTAGGACCTAGAACCCAGATCTAGTGGTTGTCCCTTGAAATATTTCGATTTGGGACTGAGATTACAGGTTTTGGACTGGTTTTCACGAGCTTCTCTCGCGCAGCTGATTCCACCGGTCGACCTGTGCGGTCGACCGGATCACATGGTAACCGGTCGACCGGATTGTATTGGCCTGACCGGTCGACCGGAGTGCACACCACTGGTCGACCGGTGGTAATGCACTGTTCTGTCACCGGTCGACCAGTTGACACGAGGTTTGACCCTGTTTGGCCTGAAATTGCTGTTTTGACCCCTGTTTTCGGGAGAACCCAAATTAGCTTCATTTGGGGACTTGAGATGAATGGATTAGCATCTTTAATCCTTATTTTGAGATTGAAAACCCTTAGAATGATAATTTGAAACATGAAAATGGATTAGGGCACACTAATTGGAAACCTTGGTATCTAATTGAGATTGGATTGCTTTAGGAATGAGAATTAATCCTAAAGTGTTGTCTTGCATCAGTGATCGCTGAGGATTCAGACTGAAGGGGCTTAAGGAAGCGGAAGCCGGAAAAGGCAACGCTAGTCCCAGGTTTGATAGTGCGAGGTAGGATTTCTATCCATTTTCCTTGTGAGCCTGATTTTCAAAAAGGATTTTGGTCTTGGAAATGTTTTAAAAGAAAGGGGTTGGTTTGCGAAAGAAAAACTCTTTGAAAACCATGGCTTGTGTAGTTTATGGAATCCATGAATTGTTCTGTCCATGGAATCCATAGCTTGTCCAGTCATGGAACCTAATGGCTTGCCCAGTCATAGGGCCCACGGCTTGAGTAGCTCGTGGGGTCATAATAACGATTTCAGAAAGTTAATGAATGATTTCTTAAACTAAGAGATCTTGTGAGCTGGTAAGAGAGTCTATTGCTGTAAGCCTAGATAGGATGCGGATAGTGCATCCTCGGGGGCAGAACTTGAAACTCGGTCTGAGTAGACGAGGCACTTGGTTAGGTAAGTAATTTGTACTAATTACTTGCTAAAGCCTGTAATACGGTTATTTTCAGTTATATTTCCTTTGAGAAAAAGGATTTGAGGTTCCGGCTGTCTGTTGGAACTGAATGTCTATTTATTTTATTTACTTATTCATTTATTTATTCGTTGCTCATTTAATTATTCATTTAATTATATAGTCATTTCAAATTATATCCTACTGGGCATTTCGCTCACGTTTTATGTTTTAAATGTGTTAAACCCCTCCCAGGAGATTCTAGGAGCGGTGCACAGTAGCTGGATATTTGCTACGGAGCAGCTGAGTTGTGCTGCTATTGGAATCAAGTGAGGATTGTGGTCATCCTCTAGAATAAAATATAAGGAATTGAGAATTCTGTAAACTCTTGAAAATATTTGGATTAGCTAGACTGTGGTTGATGTCTGTTGTAATGATTATTTACATGTTCATGTATGTACGATACTGTATGTCCTGTGGGGTGGAGCCCTGTGTGTTGTCAGAGGCTCGGGATTCTGTAATTTATTTATATTTTAATTCAGTCGAGTGGGGCTCGTCTGAGAATCTGCTTTATTAACCCTTAATCGAGCTCCACGTCACCCACCCCGTTTGGGGGCGTGACACCGTGTTTGGAATTGATCATGTTTTCATTTTTCACGTTTTTTGAGAAAGAAAAAATGAAAACATTTCCAAAACGGCGTTTGGCGCAATAAGGACAAAAAACGGAAATGAAAAGGATTTTTTGGTTTAGTGTAAAATGAGAGAAATGAAAAACGATTTTTAGTCGTTTTTCATTTTCTCCTCTCTCGAGCACAGATATATATATATATATATTAATGAGTTTTTTTATACTAAAAATAATTTCTAGATAAAACTACCAAAGGCATTTTCAAAAATGATTTATGTCTGAGATTGAAAATGTTTTCATTTTCATTTTCATACAAAAAATAAAATCATTTTGAAACGAGTTTCAAACGCGCCCCTTATTTCCCAATTAAGGTTGGTTTTCATTTCTTGAATAGAGTTAACTTTCCTAATTGTGTTTTGATGTTGTTTTCTTATTCTCTTCATACCTTCTGTGATTTGGGCTATCTTTGATGCGATCTGGAGCTTCTCAAAATCCCAAAACGGAAGGTTCCTCATAAGAGTCTTAGGATATTTTTCAGAGCAGTCGGCTACTCAACTCTGTCGAGTAGCCGACTCCAGATGTTGCTGTCGATTCAGGCCGATCTTCAATCTGGATCGTCTTCTAAATGTCTTTGGCTGCTGAATCCTTTTGAGAAGTTCTCTTGGATGATGGTTTTTAGGCTTAGTCGACTCAAGTTAATACGTATACGGTTGAGATTGAGTGACGAAATTTGACCCAACAAGACGGAAGATGTTTCATTTCCCTCGGGCACATACATACTTGACTACTAACTAAACTCAAACTTCTTCTGCTTCAGAATTATAGTATCGCCTACTTACATGGAAAATATACTTTTTCCATCCAAAAGATCTCCCGTATTTTTGCCTTTACAGAATAAATTACAGAAATCAATATACGATCACAAATATTTAGTCAAACAAACAATTCGTTTTTTAATCATTAATCAAGGCACATCTCAAATTTAATCGTTACAACTGAATACTTACAAAAACTTTACGTAAATGCAGAGAGAAATGGACAAGGCACAGAGGCCTAAGGAGTATGGTTAGGATTTTATACGCTTGGAAGAAATTAGGATGTATATTATACATAAATAATAATTTAGCCCTTAAGCCTAAATGTAACGAAGATCAATCATCAGCCAAGTCAGTGTTACTTATAACTTGAGCTCTAGATGCTGATCCGAACATTCTCCTCCTTCCTGTTGAGTACTCCATTGATTGCCCTCGTCGGGCTTAGGAGGAGCCGCCACTGGCCAGTGGTTCACTACTTGGTACGGTGCTTTCGCCGCCACCCTAAAAAATAAAAATAAAAAACTATGAAAGCTGAAAAATATTGAAATCTTATAATTAATGAATTAGGGCAAAAACAGATCACGGACTTATCATTCGCTTTATGCTAGGCCATATAAAGCGCGTTTAATTAATCAATTACCTACCTGTCTTTCCTCTTCTCTAAGAACCGATGAAGCGAATTTCTTCTCGCAATGGGCAAATCTGTAGATCAATAACCAAAAGACCATTACTTACGTCAGGCAAGATCAATATTTGAAGCTCATGAATTAAAATTCAAGAAGTTCATCAATGGCTAGTTACCAGATCCATTGGCGGCTTGATCAGCTGGTCGTTGTTGAAGGCTTTCATGTTTGTTGTTATTGTTGTTGTTGTCATTAAGATCAATATTTTTTGGTACTGAATCATTGATATTAATGTTGTTATTGCTATTATCAGACTTGGTAATTAGGGTAACGTTTCTTTCAGGAGCAGCAGGCTTGGTCAAGTCAATTTTCTCCACAACTGCCGGACTAGAAGTAGAAACAGAACCGCTAATGTTTGAGCTTCCTTTTCTGGCCAAAGCCATGACTTCGTTGGCTTTGTCCGCCGGGAGATCGTTGAACACGAGAACTTGGCCGGCGTAGAATATCGTCATCTGTGCAGTTTCAGGCTTAACAACAGCTGTACTTGTCGATTTCCTAACATAAAAAAAAAAAAGCAAAACAATAAAAGCAATTTATTTAGTTTGGTTCTAACGGATATAAACCCAGAGAGACAACTAACTAAGAGTCATTTTAGTTTGTTAATTTGAGTTTTTAATTCGAGTTAAAATGTGATTTTATGTGCTAATTTTTTATTGTAATAAAATAATTAGATGTGACTGTTCTTGAAAATTTTTTACTGTAACAAAACTCGAATTTCAAACTCAAATCGGTAAAATGAACGAGATCTAAACACTCATGATTTTTAGTTTCCCTCGTTACCCTTGGAAAGAATGTAAATACGTTAGCTTCATTCGCTCTCTATCGTTTATTATTTTCCAACGGGAGGGTATTCTTGTAATTTCATTCGCCCCCAAAATATATGATGGACTGTCTCTCTCTAATCTAATCTCCATTCTTCCCAAGAACACGGTCGAAGTTCAAACGGTTAAAAACTTTCAAATCAAATTGAATTCTAGTTCTGTTTTCCACTTTCCAGTTTCTAGATAAAACAACCTCTATATCCTAAAACAATAAAAAAAAAAAAAAAATTTAAAAGCTTGAATATAGACAAACTCACCTTAGATCAGGCTTAATAGCATCTTCAACATTTGGACCAGAAGAAGGAGTACCAAAACCCGTGAACTGTTGAAAGAAATCGGAGGATTTCACCATTGTCGACGCTGAAACGGTACCGTTTTGTACTGCAGAGAGCCCAGCTTGAGCTTGGTTCCCCGTGTTGGTAAAGAAATTCTTCGTCGCCATCGGAGGTCGGAACGACGACGTCTCCAGTAATTTCTCTGATAATTAACACACAAAAAAGGCCTTAATTTGGAGAGAATTAAGCCATTTACTTCTCTTAGCTTTTTAATTAAAGTCCGAAACCAATTACCTTTGGCAATTTCGGCATTCAAACAATTACGACGCCGAGATTCCTCTTCTCCTTCAAGAACTGGCCCAGAAGAGTACAGGCCTGAGCGAAATTCGACTTCTCCGGCGCCTTGCCGGCCTTCCTGTTCACAAACCTCTCATTTTCCGACATATCTACTGATTAGCAAAGAGAAAAAAAAAAATGGTCTGTCTTCTTCTTCTTCTTCTTCTCTGTGTTGCTAAAAACCCTACAATTCTTGACCAAAAATGGGAAAGAAAAAATTGAGAGGTATTTAGGAGTGGAATAATATCTTAGAATTGCTTAGGCCAAAATTGGATTTTGATAGGAGGGACAAGAGGTACTGGGTGCAGCAAAATATATTGGGGAGAAGACCAAAGATCTGCTATCTGCGCATGTTCGCTGAACCAAATGCTACTGCGTTGTCCTTGTCTTCCGCTTTCCCCTTTGAATACTATATTTTATTGGATTTTTTTTTTAAGCACGTGTTTTTTGCGGTGGACGGAAATTAATTTTATTCAGAATATCGGGGAAAGAGATATTAGAACAGAAGAGATGATAATAATAATAATAATAATAATTCTAGCTCGTGAAATCAAGTGGAGGGAAAGGGCAAGCGACTTTCCACCACATAATTACGAGAATGTCCTTTCTTCTCTCTCTCATTCTCTCTCTCTTCTTTTGATAATAAGACGATGGACTTTTACTTTATTTATTTTATAAATTTAAATTTTTAATTTAAATTTAGATATGATATTTTTTGAGAGTTTTTTATTATAATAAAAAAAATTAAATGTAAAATTTTTTATTATAAAAATCTAAAATTAAAAACTCAAATCGATAAAATAAACGAGACATTATTATTCTACTCACACGAGTCCCGAGCTGAGCTGCTCCTCACATTGACATATAACTATAAGCGTCGTTTTCTTTCATTGTGTTTCTACATTTTTCTCGTGAGCAGTCTTGAACTTGCACCTTTTTTTGACGGAAAGATAATAAACAAAAGTACACTCTAGAGTAGGGTCGCAAGGTAGGGTAGTTAGGTTTACCTCATTAGTTGAATGAGTTCTTTAAATTTGTAGTAAGTTTTTTTTTTTTTTTTTTTTTTTTTTTGAAATGGCGGGTAAGAGTTATTTAATAATAAGCAATGCACTATATTTAACGTGGACTCATAAATCAGCGAAAAATTTGTTATAATAATAGGAAAAACAATGAAACAATAACGAGGAAAATACTGAATAGAGATGCAACTATCAGCTAAGGTCCGTGAGCCGACTCAGGCACATCTTCATACAGTGTTAGATTGGGCGGCTCGATACGATACTATTTGAAGTACGGGTTGGGTTAACATTTTTCAGTCCATGGGTTAGCCCAGTATAGTCCATGAAAATTCATGGATCATGTCAGGCTTAGGTCGTGCCGTGTTTAGAGGTGGCAATTCATGTCGTGTTTTGATTATTTTTTAAAAAAATTTACAATCAATCCGAACACGACCCGTGACACGAAATTTTTTAAAAACTGCAACACGAACACGACACAACCCGAAAATGACCCGTGACACGAAATTGACCCGTGAACCCGAAATTGACACGAAAATTGTATACTTTTATTTAGTTTTTTACATATTAGAAATAACTTAAAATTCATAACACATTAAATTACAATAACATCCATTGAAATTAAGCAAATAATAGTACACGATTTTGAGTATAACTATCATAATATCACAAGTTCATAATAAAATTTAAAATATGAAATGAAAAATATATGTATTTTTTAGTTTTTTACGAGTTTCGTGTCGTGTTCGGGTTAGGCGGGTCCAACCCGAAATTAACCCGTATTTTTCGTGTCAATTTCAGGTCGACCCAATTTTGACCTGAACCTCTTTTTTCTCAACCCTAACCCACAAAATTCGTGTCGTTTTCGAGTCGTGTCGTGACCCATATTGCCGGACCTAATATTCATGATAATATTTATATAGGTTCTTCCATGTTGATTAGTTTGGGTTTGTGATATATTTGATTACTTTCAATAAGCTTTCCATAGAGACTAAAATGACTTCAATTGGATGAGTAGATGATTTTATCTAAATTTTTGACAGTCACAGTGTTGCTAGAATGTGTTATAACATTTTCTCTCTAACATGTCTATATACATTTATTTTTTAAAATTAGTTGCTTGAAATTTAAGGAAACTGATTTATGAGCATGAAATAAACTCATTAAGGATCACATAGAATTTTGAATCACTTAAAAAGCTTATTTCTAAAAGAAGTTACGAATTTTTACATTCGACTATGTTTTTGAAATCAGAGATAAGCTTTCTCTCCGACCTGTCTGTGTCCTTTATATATATATATAGCCAAAAATAAAAAATGAATTATAATATAATAATGTACAGAGGAACAAAAATACAAATTTTCAAAAATAAAGGCTGTAGGTGGGCAATTATTGTTTATTACTTTGTGCAAGAATGAGTTTCACGTGGTCGCACCTTGTGTTCTTGTTCTTTGTATGACACATGTTATAGTGTTTTTTATAATTACTTATGCAACGTGTTAACATGCTAGTGTAGTGACACAAAAGAAAACAACCAAAATCAATTATTATTATAAAATGTTTTTATTAATTTATGTAAAAAAATTCAACCCTTTTTTTTTATACATGATTTTTTTTTACCATAAATCCTTTTATGAAAAGGAAGGTTATTTCAGTTAATAATATTGTCATAATAAGAAAACAAAAGAAGTTATTTTTTCTTGTTTAAATAAAAAAGAAACAACAAAATTAAAAAAATAAAAAAAAGTTAAATCTAAAAAACATATAAAAAATCGTTCAAAAAAATAATAAAAATAAAAAGTTAAATCTTAGCAAAAGAGAAGGCTGAATAAAACTTTTTTTCTTTTTTTGAACCTAATAGACTTTATTTGATATTACGGGTAACCATGTGCAGATATATAAATATTGTTCCTGACATTCACAGTCGATCATTTACAAAAGGGTTAGGACCATTAGGTTTGGACTTTTAGATGTGGTAGACAGATATTGCGGAAAAAATTATGTTAAAAAGATGAAAGTTTCGCTGATTTAAATTTTTAATTTAAGTTAAGATGTAATTTTATGTAAGAGTTTTTTACTGTAATAAAAAAACTATATGTTATTATTTTTTAGAGCTTTTTACTGTAACAAAACTCGAATTATAACTTCAAATTGGTATATATAAGACCCGTTTAGTTTCGCTGATTTAAATTTTTAATTTAAGTTAAGATGTAATTTTATGTAAGAGTTTTTTACTGTAATAAAAAAACTATATGTTATTATTTTTTAGAGCTTTTTACTGTAACAAAACTCGAATTATAACTTCAAATTGGTAAAATGAACGGAACAATAAAAAACGTGAAAAGTTTATAACTCGTAACTTTGGTCAACATAATACATGAAAAAGAAATTAAGGGATGTTTGGTTAGAGAATTCAAACTACGATTTGAATCATAGTTCATGGTTCGTTATAGTATTTTCTCTCACAAAAAATACACGTAGATCGAAAATGATTCTAATCACATGATTCTAATCTATGAACAAAACGTCTTGTAAGATTTCGTTTATTTTACCAATTCGAATTTTCAATTTCAATTTTACTATAGTTAAATATTTTTACAAAAAATTACATTAAAATTTTTTTACTACAGTTAAATTTTTTTACATAAAATCACATCTCAATTTAAATTAAAAACTTAAATCGATAAAATAAACGACTTAAACTAATTTCATAAAATGGGACTACATGGTAGAAAGGCAGGATAAACAATACGTCCTGTCCAATAAAAGTTCTGAAGAGTGGAAATAAAAATAAGTTAAATCTAAAAAACATATAAAAAATCGTTCAAAAAAATAATAAAAATAAAAAGTTAAATCTTAGCAAAAGAGAAGGCTGAATAAAACTTTTTTTCTTTTTTTGAACCTAATAGACTTTATTTGATATTACGGGTAACCATGTGCAGATATATAAATATTGTTCCTGACATTCACAGTCGATCATTTACAAAAGGGTTAGGACCATTAGGTTTGGACTTTTAGATGTGGTAGACAGATATTGCGGAAAAAATTATGTTAAAAAGATGAAGCATAAAAAATTCAAAAGGATATATATATATATATATAAGGCCCGTTTAGTTTACTGATTTGAGTTTTTAATTTGAGTTAAGATGTAATTTTATGTAAGAACTTTTTACTGTAATAAAAAAACTATATGTAATTATTTTTTAGAGTTTTTTACTGTAGCAAAACTCGAATTATAACTTCAAATAAAATGAACTGAACAATAAAAAACGTGAAAAGTTTATAACTCGTAACTTTGGTCAACATAATACATGAAAAAGAAATTATGTTTGGTTAGAGAATTCAAACTACGATTTGAATCATAGTTCATGGTTCGTTACAGTATTTTCTCTCACAAAAAATACACGTAGATCGAAAATGATTCTAATCACATGATTCTAATCTATGAACCAAACGTCTTGTAAGATTTCGTTTATTTTACCAATTCGAATTTTTAATTTCAGTTTTACTATAGTTAAATATTTTTACAAAAAATTACATTAAAATTTTTTTACTGCAGTTAAAATTTTTTACATAAAATCACATCTCAATTTAAATTAAAAATTTAAATCGATAAAATAAACGAGACTTAAACTAATTTCATAAAATGGGACTACATGGTAGAAAGGCAGGATAAACAATACGTCCTGTCCAATAAAAGTTCTGAAGAGTGGAGACAATGTCAAATGGGAAAGGATATCTGTTGTGATGATAACATTCAGAAATAGTTCTATTCAATGTTTTAGCTCTTTTTTTTCCCCTTTTTTTTTTCTTGTATTTGAATAGAACATTTCAATGGTTAGCTTTGCATTTGAATATATCTATCAAGTCCAGCAGGCAATATTAGTCATCGGATTCAAAAGCTTATGCTGCAAGAAATTACACAGTACCGATATCACATCAATGACTTCAAGAAAGAACCGAGATCATTAATAGGCTAGACCAACCACTAATGCCAAATTAATTTTTCCACATAATAATCAAACCTAATCAAAGCTGAATGCTTCATGATCAGGAGATAAACGAGGTTAAGGATAATTGCCTTGACGACTGATTTTTTTTAAAAAAAAATAGAGAATTTATTCCTTACTCTTAATAAGCGCACGAATCTGCACTTTATTCTTTACTCTTAATAAATATCTTTTTATTAGTATAATTATTTGATTACAAAGATTATAAATTAAGAGTAAAAAGTAAAAATCCTGACACATGTACTTTTAAGGTGTATTTATCAAGATTAAGCATATATTTTTTGGGTATATTTTTCCCACCTTAAAAACAGTAAATTGGGCTACAAGCCTACAAGGCAACAATTACGTATATTAAGGTTTGTTCTTTTGCACTTTTTGAATTAGGAAAACTTGAGTTCATATCTGAATTTCTCGAGGATTGCAGTTTGAATTTATAACTAGTAATTAAATTATAAACTGTCAATAATTAGCCTACCTATTACACCATTATATGATCAAATATAGAAATATAATGATAATACAAATATAAAAATTTAATGATATGACGTCCAATTTTATTAACTTTTTAATTTATTACAACCGTCAAATCAATATTTTATTGTTAAAATAATTACAACTACGAATACGTAAATATTAAAATAATCATTAAAATCACGCTTATATATTATCTCTCTCACATTAAAGATTGCAGTTTAAATTTATAATACTAATATGGAATTGAAAAGAAAGTATTTCTAATTTTTCTTTGCTAAATTGACTTGTTAAATACAATCTCCAATTTACAAGCAAAAAAAGAAAAAAAAAAACTCCAATTTAATCCCATCCATTATACATAGCTTATTGGTTAAAGCAAAACGCGTGGGGTATATCTGACTGAGCAATATAGTATATTGGGAAAATGACACATAATGACTAATAATAATAATAATAATAAAGTTCAAGCAGACTAGAAGAAAAGAAAAAATCGACCCTCCTTTGTTGATAATTAGAGTTAGTGAAGTGAACACCCCCTTAAATAATACCGTAAGAAATCATTTGATTGGTGTCGGGAAAAAGAAAAAGACTTATAACGTTAATTCTTTTTTTCGTTACGTAAGTAGACAGTATTGCATTTGACTTTTTTTTTTCCTTTGAGGGGATGAACTCGACCTTATTGAAATAACAAAATACCATATTATCATTTTGATTATAAAATGTTTTCTAAAATGGCTTTCTCTACGGTTCTAAAAAAATTCACTGGTGGAACACTCTGTTTTGACTGTTAGATTACTTTTTCAACAATTAAATAGGCAAAGATAGTAATTATGTGCAGCGTGCTATAAATTTCTAATACGAACCTGCACATATATAACCATTGAAAACTTAATCCAACGATTAAAATAAGATATTCTACCAGTATATTTTTTAAGGTGTCTCACAATAAAGGCTCATTCTAAAATACCACTTTTGTTTGTATTTTTCACCTAGAATAGTTAAACATTGTCGTAATTTATTTTTCTAAATTTATAGTTATTCCATTAGTTATAAATTTCTTTCTTCCTCGCGTGAAGATACATGGTGCGAAGATCTCATCTGTGTGCTTCGCATTGAGGAGAATCCTAAAGTTATTTGTGATACTTAAACTTTTTGGTCAAAAACTATCTTTTCTTTAAAACAAAAAAGGAAAAAAAAAAATTTATCTGCATTATTTAATTGTGACAAAATTGATCCTTACTAAAATGAAAAAAAAAAAATAATGTGGCAACCCCCCAGTGGCAATCCCCCAATAACCTCAATTGCACTCCTACGCCCAATAACTTTGATTGCACTCCTTCATCCTATAATTCTGTACTATTTTCGTAGAATACTATCATTTTGAGGAAAAAAAAAACTAGAAATACCAATTAAGATGGTAAAATATATTATTTATACTACTTCACTCAAAATAAATTATTATCATTCAATTAATAAATAGAAAATAAAAGGTCATAATGACACTTAATTATTTAGAATGACACAAATAATACGTCTATACAAAATCATGATAAATTATGTACTTTTTTCTCATTTTTTTCCTTTAAATTTTGCACTCCCAATTTAAATATACTTTTTTCTATTAAAACTGTAAACGAATTAACCCTGTAAATAATTAACACATATAATTATTTTAATTACCAACAATTATTCTTGTGCATACAATAATAACATATTCTAATTATTGAAAATTCAAAACGGGCAAAAATAACCAAAACTAATATTATTCATGAACTATTTTTTTATTAATACGACATAACTTCTTTTTAAAAGAACATTCTACATTAAAAAAAAATAACCCTATAAATTGAGAGAGATTTTTTAAGAGTTAAATTCATCACTTTTACTTTTTTTTTTTCTAATAATTAGTCCCTTAGAGAAAGAGGTTCTTGATTATAAAAGAGAAAGAAGTTCAAGAACCTCTTATGGATTCTTTTTTGTGCAAAAGATATCCCCAACCCTATTCAAAAAAAAAAACAAAGAAAGAAAAAACTTCTTTTTTCTAACGTACTTTTTATTTTTCTTATAAAAGATACCCGACGCCTATTCCAAAAAAAAAAAAAAGGGAAAAAAATATTTTTTATATACTTTTTATTTTTCTTGGAAACGATACCCCGACGCCTATTCAAAAAAAAAAAAAAACAAAAAAACAAAAAAAAAAGAGAGGAAAAAAATCCACCTAAGAATGACCGAAACAGTTAACAAGACCAACCGTTGTAACTGTTTTTCAAATCTGTGGCTAAGAAAACCACCCTTTAGGCATCTCTCATTCCGAAGCTCTCTTTCCTCAGCGGAAACGAAAAATCAGCAAAACAAAGAACAAAAACAAGAATCCCAACAAAACAGTTGCAGATAATTCAGCTATACGGCGGCGAAAAAGCTGAAATGGCCGTACTCGATCGGCTTCTTCTCCGACCATACATCATAATTTCTCTCCTAATATTGCGTTTCTCTTATTTGACACATTCCATAACCGAATCCGAAGCTCTTCTTAAGCTCAAAGACTCGTTCGCGAAAAACGACGCTCTTGATTCCTGGGTTCCTTCTGCTTCTTCTTCTCCTTGCATTAGAAGCGCTCAGTGGAGGGGAATTGTGTGCTACAATGGCATTGTCACGGGGATCAGCCTTCAAGGATTGGGTTTATCTGGGAAAATTGATGTTGCTGCGCTTCGTGGAATAAGGGGTCTTCGTATAATCAGCTTTGCCAACAATTCATTTTCTGGCTCAATCCCGGATTTGAGTAGTTTGGGTGCTTTGAGAGCCATTTACTTATCCGATAATGAGTTTACGGGCGATATACCGTCGGATTACTTTGCGAAAATGGCCTTCTTGAAGAAATTGTGGCTTTCCAATAACAAGTTTGTTGGTAACATTCCTTTCTCCTTGGCTCAACTTTCTCGCCTCGTCGAATTGCATCTCGAAAATAACCGGTTCCGCGGAAGCATTCCGTCTCTTTACATGCCGAATTTGGCATCTCTCAACTTGTCCAATAACAAATTGGAAGGGGAAATTCCGGCGGAACTGTTGAAATTTGACGAGACCTCGTTCGCAGGGAATGAGGGCTTTTGCGGTGAGAAGGTCGGCAGAACATGCCAAATAAGCTCGGTTGATTTTAAGAAGATCGTCGCGGCGGGGATAACTTCCTCGGTGGTGATAATCTCCGTTGTTGTGTTGTTGATCTTGAGATCGAAGCGAAAAGGAGAGGAGACTTTCGAGAAAGAAGCCCCCGTCGAGGTCCACGTGAGTTCGCTTAACAAGAAGGAAATGGATTTGGTTCGAAACGATTCGGTGAACAGCTTGGTAAGTAATAAGGGAGGCGGGAATGCGGTGGATATAGTGATGGTGAATGATGAGAAGGGCGTGTTTGGGATGCCGGATTTGATGAAGGCGTCGGCGGAGGTGCTCGGAAATGGAGGGATGGGGTCGTCGTACAAGGCGGTGATGGCGAATGGGATAGCTGTGGTGGTGAAGAGGATAAAGGATATGAGTGTGAAAGGAAAAGATGAGTTTGATGCAGAGATTAGGCGGCTTGGAAAGCTTAGACATTGGAATGTTTTGTCCCCTTTGGCTTACCATTACAGGAAAGAAGAGAAATTGGTGGTATACGAGTATGTTCCAAATGGCAGTTTGCTTTATCTACTTCACGGTATGAAACTTTATTCCTTTTTTTTAGACTGTCTTGGTGTCTCTGGTTGATCGTCTTACTGATAGGACCAATTTTTTTACCGTTAAATTTGGTCAAAATTAAATGAGATTGAAAAATATATGCAGAACAGACAGCGTGTGAAACAGATTTAACGGTTGAAAACCGCTAAAAAATGAAACTACCAGTAATTCCCTTTTTTTGGGAGAAACTCTTTAATTTTTTTATTTTTTATTTTTTATTTTTTTACTAAAAAACATACATCAAAGTTTTCACATAGCACATATATATGTGACTATACAATTTTTCACTTAAGTTAGTGATTTATTAGCACATCCCTGATGTCAATTTGCTTTTATCTGCTTCTTTTAATCAAAATATTACGTTTCATGCTAAAAATTCAATAATTTAACCATATCTCATATATTTTACAATCATATTAAAAGTTATACTTGACGTTTAAAAAATAACGTTAAAAACTTCCCGTATAAATTGTGTTAAAATCTGCCCTCTGAAAGGTTTTTATGAAATGAAGGGAATAAGTATAATCATGGAATTAGGGGGAAACACAAATGTGTCTATAAAATACAATATTATAAGTTTTTGTTATTGTCCCCTTAATTGCGAATGGGATGTAGCATTAGAATTGTCACATGGCACATATTAATGTTATATATCCAATACTAAAACGTATTTTCTTTCATATTTAATTAATCAAACAAGAAAAATATCCATTTCCTAATGAAAAGAATATGTTCTTTTGTAGGTGAGCGAGGATCTTCTCATGTGGAGCTGAATTGGTCGGCCCGTTTGAAGATTGTTCAAGGAATCGCCAAAGGGTTGGAATATCTACACTCAGAACTTGCTTCCTTTGATTTACCTCACGGCAATCTCAAATCAAGCAATGTTCTTCTTGGCCCTGAATATGAGCCTTTGATATCCGATTTCGGATTTAGCCCACTTATCAACCCTGCAAGCGTATCACAAGCAATGTTCGCCTACAAGGCTCCAGAATTCACACAACATGGCCAAGTCTCCCCCAAATCAGACGTCTACTGCCTCGGAATCGTCATTCTCGAGATTCTCACTGGGAAATTTCCGTCCCAATATCTCTACACCGGCAAGGGCGGGACTGATGTAGCCCAGTGGGTGACTTCAGCAATCTCCGAGGGGAGAGATTTGGCTGAGTTGTTGGACCCGGAAATAGCAAACGTCACTTCATCAAGGGATTCTCTTGGAGAGATGAAGAGGCTCCTCCACATTGGAGCTGCTTGCACCGAGAGTGATCCCGAGCGTAGGCTCAGCACGATGGAGGCCATTCGGAGAATAGAGGAGATTCCGGCCGAGGGAGGAGAAGAGCGTGTTACTGCTGGTAGAACAATTATGCAAGTTCAGCCGTCACTCAGAGATGGTTATGCAGACTCCATGCCACAATTAGTTGACAATGAAGCGCGTTTAAGAGGAGAAAATGGTGAGATTTCGGAGAGGAGGAGACTTCGGAATGGTGAGAGTTTTGCTTTTGCTATTTCCTAAATTGTGTTCAGGCTGGGGAAATTTTTTAGCTTTTCTTGGGAAATTTCATATTATGATCAGTTCTTTCTTCACCGATAGCAAAAGGAAAAGATGAAAATCAAGGCTTCGTTCATTTCACCGATTCGAGTTTTTAATTTTAAGTTTCTACAGTAAAAAGCTCTCAGAAAATGTCACGTTTTTTTACTACAGTGAAAAACTCTAAAAAAATGTTACATCTCAACTCGAATTAAAAATTCGAATCTGTGAAGTGAATGAGGCCCCAATATACTGTCTTGAGTTAAATTTTTTACTCTCTTTTGAAGGCTATGTAGATTCCTTATTTAAACTTGCGGTATTGACCCATTTTGAGCTTCTAGTGATATACTTCAATGCGTAGAGAACTTGCTAGACAATTGTTGCTTTAGTAATCGATCTACTCAACCTTTCAAGATTATGAAGTTCGCAAATGTTGTCATATCTAACATGTTTTTTTTTCCCCTCCTACAATGATATTGTTGCGGTTTAACATAGAAAAGATGTGTGTGCGCGCGGGCGTGTGTGTTGTATTTATCTATGTATGCCTCCATGTATATATGCATATACTCTCGTTTTTTATGTTCATCTCTTCCTTTGAAGTGTTCGTTATAGAGGTTGTGTCCTCTTATTGGTCTATTGTCGTACTCACGCCCACGTCGTGTTTCAAGTTTTTTCGTCGTTTAAGGTTAATGTCGTTTTTTGAGGGACATCGTTTTTCACTGCCCTGATAATCTTTAAGGTTTTCGTTGATCGATATATTATTGTTTTGAACATATAATGTCGTTGTTCACACACACACAGAGGCACGTATCATATACTCTCGTCTTTAAAATTTTTCTCTTCAGAGATCGTCGTTTACGTGGGATACTTTTTGTAACTGTACTAGTGTCGTTTTTAAGGATAAAAACGTGTTTTTTTTAATCCTGGTTTAAGATTTATGTCGTTTTTCAATGACTGAAGTTTTAATGTTGACGTCGTTCTACAGTATACTATTGGTGCTTAAGATTTCCGTGCATTAATATATTGTTAATTTTTCTTATAATATCATGTCGCTTTAAAAAAAAAAAAAAGGAATATCATGTCGTTTAAATGTATAGACGCACACATACGCAAGTACGTGTAAATTACACATTATACATATGCTATTTTGATGTTGTCGTTTATATGAATTATTGATTATTGATTAGGAATATTTTGTTGTCTATTTATTATTCTATTTTCATGTTTAAGGACAGTAACGGTTTTCTTCAGAACCTTCCCGTTTGCTAAGCTTTTGTCGTTTAAGGTTAATGTCGTTTTTCAGTGGTTGTCGTTTCACAAAGTTTATGGCGTCTTTTAATTTGACTTCGGTTTTCAGTGAACCCGTGGGCCAGGCCTCGTTCACTTCGCGGATTCGAGTTTTCAATTCGAGCTGAGATGTGATATTTTTTGAGAGCCTTTTGCTGTAGCAGAAAAAGTTAGACGTGACATTTTATGAGAGCTTTTTACTGTAGAAATCTAGAACTGAAAACTCAAATCGGTGAAATGAACGATCCCAGATTTTTGTTAATCGATGTTTCAATATAATAAACAAACACATGTAGTTTTCTTAAGTGTCTAGGTTTTTTGGGACTCGATTTGATTTTATGTGTAATATTTTCTTTACTCTCGTTTTTAAGGTTGATGTCCATTTTTGAGAATGTCGTTTTTAAATAGGTGTGTCTATTCATTGTTTTATTTTTGGTTTTATAGACTACATATATACACACATATTTTTTTTCTGGAAAAGGATTCATTGGTTTTATGGACTATTACGTTTTCATTTTTATTTATTTATTTATTTATATATATATATATTTTTTGAAAATGATAATTGGATTCTATATTAAAGAAGTACAATTACTAATTCAAGCACAAAAGACCATAACGCACATGCCGACTCAAACTCCACAAACCTAAACCATCAATAAATTCTATTGAAATGCTAGAAAGGTTAATACGTGTATCGTGTTCTGATAAAAGGAAACCAAAAAGACGTACAACTTTTCAAGTATACAAATAGCTCTTTTAAATATACTATATAATCGGTGGATAACTCTAGCTGATAAATGTGTTATCGATGTTTATTTCTTTTCCTGTGTTACGAAATCTTTGTGAGCCCGAGAAGAAGATTTTCTAGGTGGCACATTCATGACTGGACTGGGTATTCGAGATCATCAAAAAATAGAGAATTTATTCTTAAGAGTGCATGAGTCTGGACTTTTACCTCTTACTCTTGATAAATATCATTTTGTTCGTGTAATTATTTGACTAAAAAGGTTATTAATCAAAAGTAAATGATAAAAATCATGTCTCATGCACTTTCAGTGAGTATTTGTTAAGATTACCTAATAACTTTCTTTTGAAGCCCGTTTTCTCAGTTCGGATTAGGCTTCTCAATCCCAAATAAGCTACAAAAATAAGAAATTTAAAGATAATCTTGTGCATACTTCAGAATTTTTACCATTTATTCTTGATTCATAACCTTTTTAGTTAAATAATAAAACTAATAAAAGAGTATTTATTAAAAATAAAAAATTAAATTCATATATAATTTTTCTATTTTTTTCAAATTTTAAATCATACGTGAAAAAGGACAGAATTTATTGATTGCAATAAGTCAACCCTTCTCTAGATCATGGGTCATACTGGTGGAAACGACCGAAATATGAAAAACAGTAGTAATATTTTGTTTCTAATAATAACAATAATAATAATGTAGCTCTATACAGCTGGAGACATAAATATACTACATTAAAATGAACTTTAAAAAATAGGCTCAAATTCATAGGCCTCTAACCTGGCACAGAGCAATTTTTGCCCACAACTTTGCTATCAAAGTGTCCCACTAAAAGACAAAACAAAAAATTAGAACTTATCATCTTATATATGTATGTATAATTATTTTTTACCCGTACAAAACATTGAACCAAGACCCTAATTTGGCACTTCAATGCTTATTATTATAAGTCTTCTTTCTAATAAAAAATAAATGTCACGGGCTCACAGTTGATGAATTAGAAAATACCACCGGAAAAAAAAAAAAAAAGCTCAGAAAAATTGGGCCTTTCCATGAGAGGGAATGAGGGATTTTTGGAGTTGCACAAAATTGACATGTATTATTCAAATTAATTCGCAACCCTTCCGCGACTCTTATACCAATAAGCAATACCATTGAAACTTAAATTTTCTCGCCATTCTATACGATACGCCAATCTCAATGCTTTAAAATCTTTAAAATAACGTAAATATTATGAGAAACAAAATGTAAATAAAAAGCATAATTGATGACGTTTGGTTTATGTATTCAGAATTATGATTCAGAATTATTCTCGTTTTACATGTATTTTTTGTGATAGAAAACACTGTAGAGAACCATAAATCATGATTCGCTAATCTCAATGCTTTAAAATCTTTGAAATAACGTAAATATTATGAGAAACAAAATGTAAATAAAAAGGACAAAAAAAGCATAATCGATGACGTTTAGTTTATGTATTCAGAATCATGTTTCAGAACTATTCTCGTTTTACGTGTATTTTTTGTGAGAGAAAACATTATAGAGAACCATAAATCATGATTCAGAATCCGGGGTGAATATAGAGAGTTGGGCGTATATGACCGTTTGTTAAGAGTTTTTGTTTTATAATAAATTACTGAAGTTTTCTATAATTACAAAAAT